ACGAACTAGGCATATCCTTTTGTGCCCATGACAAACTAGGTGTTGGATTTGAGGCCGATGACCTTGGCCTTAGTGTAACCAACGATGAACAAGAATTCGAAGGCGGACAACGCCTACGAGGCTAAAAAGAACAGACCGAGCAGCAGGGAACTCATGATCTAAGAACTAGTTACAGCTAGGGTTTGCGGAAGAAGAAAGGTGGCACGAAAATGTGGGGAACGCGCAAGAGAGCAAGGGATCTCTCTGCACTGTCTTTTATATCAAACCAGGAATGTACTCTTCACGTTACAAAAACAGAGGAAACAGAAAATGTAAAACAGAAATTCAAATTCCAGTAATTGTAAAACGCCAGGTGGTGGTACTTCATTCGTCTAGTGAAATCCACTCAACGGTTAACTCCGAGTCTCCACAACGGCGTCGCTTTGGCTCTTCGTCTTGAGTTGAGTGGAGGGAACCCAGAAACGTTTCATTTCTGGGTTAGCTTTCCTATGCTTCAGTTCTATGTTCTGCACTTCACTTCTGCAGGTTCTGATCGTCATCTTCTTCGGTTGATACTCCCCCACAAGCTTATGAGTATGCATTGCTTACTCCTAGCTTGTCCAACAAAAACTTCAGTCTATATCGAGTCATCCCTTTTGTGAATAAGTCTGCAACCTGATCATCAGTTCTTACATGATATAGCTTGATCAAACCAGATTTAATCCTCTCCCTTGTAACATGGCAATCGATCTCTATATGTTTCGTTCTCTCGTGAAAAACTGGATTTTTAGCAATATGTAGAGCAGACTTATTATCACAGTAAAGTGGAATGGGCAATGGTACCTTAACTCCCATCTCAGATAGCAAATTCCTCAACCACTGCACTTCACATACAACCTTTGCTAAGGCTCTATATTCCGCTTCTGAAGAGGATCTAGAAACAGTGGTTTGTTTCTTTGTTTTCCACGTGATTAATGAAGTTCCCAGGAAAGAACAATAACCAGTAAGAGACCTCCTAGAATCAGGGCAGCTTGCCCAATTAGCATCACAAAAACCAGATAACTCTAGCTTTGAATCTGCTCTAAAAATCAGTCCTTGACCAATAGTTTGTTTCAAGTATCTGATCACCCTGTGAGCAGCTTGTAAATGTTCAACACAAGGTGCTGTCTGTAACTGTGCTAGTTGCAGCATAGCATAGGTAATGTCTGGTCTTGTGATTGTCAAATAGTGCAACTTACCTATTAATCTCCTGTAGACACTAGGATCTGGCATGAGTTCACCCTGTTCTGCTGAGAATTTGAATTGCAGTCGACAGGTGAACTTCTTCACCTAAATCTCCATGGAGAAAAGCATTGGACACATCCATTTGATGAATGTGCCAATATTTGGAAGCTTCTACTGCCAGCAATGTCTTAACTGAGTTGATTTTTGCAACTGGTGAATAAGTGTCAAGGAAGTCTATCCGATAGATCTGAGTGTATCCTTTTGCTACTAAAAGTGCTTTAAACCTTTCAATAGCACCATCAGACCTATATTTTACCTTGAAAACCCACTTAGCACCTATAGGTTTCTTCCCTGCTGATAGTTTAACAACTTCCCATGTTTGGTTTTCATACAAAGCAAAAATCTCTTCCTTACAGGCCTGGTTCCACCTAGGATCCTTACATTCCTCAGCATAGGAAGTAGGTTCTTCTATAGACAACACATTGAGAGCAAATGCTTTCTGAGAAGCAGTCAAATGTTCATAACTGACCTGATGAGCAATATGATGTTTAGAACTAGAAGCTACCAGACTGACATGGTAATCTTTGTGCTAGACTGGTTTGGTATGCTGTCTTTTGGATTTCCTTAAAAATTCAGCCTCATCTGTGTCATTAAGATCAGGGAAGACCTCAATCTCCATATCCTCCCCCTCATATTGCAAACTGACATTGCTGTCTAATGAACTTTCTAGTGGGATAGGTATAGTAGAAGAAGAAGGAACAGTAAGGGAAGGGATAGGGGTGGGAGTAGAATAGGTGTTTGCAGGCTGATGAGGTAGATAGGAGAGAGATATCAGTAAGAGGAATGGATGGACATTGAGGGAAGATGGGATCTGGTATGTGAGTTTCAGGTGTATGAGTAGGAGAATGGAATGGTAAGATGGACTCATAAAGATCACATCTATGGAAACAAATAAGGATTGAGAATTTAGGTCAAACAGCTTGAAGCCTTTAATAGCACTAGGATATCCAAGGAAAATGGATGCATAACGGAGTGAACCAAACACCTTCAAGCCATTTAAATTTGGTGGTTTTTGATAGAGAATCAGCTAGAACATAGGGTGATTTATCAGCTAGAACTGAGGTGGCTGTTTATCAAGTAAACAACATGCAAAATACAATCACTCCAAAACCTGAGGGGGATGCCAGATTGAATCTAAGGGATCTGGCTACATTGAGGATGTGTTGATGCTTCCTCTCAACTCTAGCATTTTGCTCTGGGGTTTCAACACAAGACTGTTGATGGATAATACCATGAGTACTGTAAAACTCAGCCATGTGGAACTCAGAACCTTGATCACTTCTAATGATCTTAACCTGTTTAGAAAACTGTCTTTCAACCATGGTGCAAAAAGATTGCAACAAAAGATCAACTTCAGATTTGAATTTCATTAAGAACACCCACACAGCTCTAGAGTAATCATCCACCAAAGTCAGAAAATATGAAAATCCATCATGAGACTTCATAGCCAATGGCCCCTAGATGTCTACATGGATCAATTCAAAAGCATCTAGTTCTCTACTAGTGCTAACAGGGAAGGAAAGACGTTTGTGCTTAGCAAAATGACAAATCTGACAATGAGAAACTACATCACTATTACAAGGTATTGTTTGTTTCTCCTTTTCCTTGTTGGGATGTCCTAGTCTCCCGTGCCAGAGGGATATATTTTGTGGTTGAAAGTTGTATGAGAAGGCTGCTTGTGGGACATGTAAGATGGATGCTTTGTTCTTGGTGTGTAACTGGTATAATCCTCTACTCTGTCTTGCCAAACCAGTCCTTTTCTGGGTCACTAGGTCCTGAATTTGACAAGAATTAGATTCAAAGTGTAAGAATATGGGTTGGTCATTAGTCAATTTGCTAACTGATATGAGATTAAAGGTGAAGCTTGGCACAAGGAGGACATTGTCTAAGGCTAGGTCAGGAGATAATTGAACCTTTCCTATGTAACTAACCACTACCTTAGTACCATTAGGCAGATTAACAAACTGATCATTGACAGGCACAGCTTCAGTGAACAAAGCAACACTGCAGGTTATGTGGTCAGAAGCCCCAGTGTCTAATATCCAGGTATGAACAAGAGATTCTGCCCTATATCTCAGCTTGCTAAGTTCCTCAGATGAGAAACTCAAATTCTCCTTGGAAGACACACTCCTGGACTCTGAACTGAGTTTGGAGTCTGAGCTGGAGATATCACTGTCATGGGGAGATTCCCCATGAGAAACTGCAGCTGCAACTCCTCCAGACATTCTGAGTTTCTTGTTCTTTAGTTTCCAGCTTTCATCCTTCACATGACCATCCTTCTTACAATAACGGCAGAACTTCTTTCCATCTTGGTCTTCTCCAGGAACAGCTAGAGCAACTGTTTGCACACCTCTTGTAATGCCCTTATCTGCCTTTAACTTTTGTTCATGTTGCAACACATCATTGATTGCAACTTCAACTGTGGGAAGTGGTTTCATCATCAGAATTTGTGTGTGAACCACATCAAATTCTGGCCGAAGGCCCTTCAAGAACCTAATAAGGTAATCAACCTCCTACTTCTGCTTAAATGCCTCAACTGCTGCACATGGTTGTATTCTCTATGGAGCACAGTTGCAATCTGCTATTGGATTAAATTGCAAGTGCTCCTCCCACAACCCTTTCAGGGCCGTGTAGTATTGGGTAACGTTGAGGTTCCCTTGCTTGCAGGCAATGATCTGGTCTCCCAGATTAGACAGCTTAATGGCATTGGCATACCCAAAACGAGCTTTGAGCTCCTCCCACAAATCACGAGCTACATCATGTTGCATCACACTTCTTCTTATCTCCTTATCCACAGAATTCAGAATCCAACACAAGACTAAAGTGTTACAAGCATCCCATGTACTATAATTAGGGTTTCCAACTCCTGGGGATGGAATTGAACCATCAATGAAACCCACTTTGTACTTTGTTTTGAGAGCCATTCTCATGGCTCGTTGCCACATTTGGTAATTAGAACCATCTAATGCTTCTGAAACAATAGCTTGAGAGATGTTCTCGTTGGGGTTAATGTAGAAGGGATTACCAAATTGGGGATCTGTACGATCGTTGTTGTTGTTAGTCATCGTGCTCGCAGGGCCTGAAGCCATACCAATGTAGGAGCCAAAAGGGATAGCTCTAGGTGGAGTGTTTGGTGGTGGCGTCCCCGCCATTGAAGGTTTCTAGATCTGAAACCGCTTTGATACCATAAGAACTAGCTACAACTAGGGTTTGCGAAAGAAGAAAGGCGACACGAAAATGTGGGTAACGCGCAAGAGAGCAAGGGATCTCTCTGCACAGTCTTTTATATCAAACCAGAAATGTACTCTTCACGTTACAAAACCAGAGGAAACAGAAAATGTAAAACAGAAATTCAAATTACAGTAATTGTAAAACGGCAGGTGGCGGTACTTCATTCGTCCAGTGAAATCCACTCAACGGTTAACTCCGAGTCTCCACAACGGCGTCGCTTTGGCTCTTCGTCTTGAGTTGAGTGGAGGGAACCTAGAAACGTTTCGTTTCTGGGTTAGCTTTCCTCTGCTTCAGTTCTGTGTTCTGCACTTCACTTCTACAGGTTCTGATCGTCATCTTCTTCGGTTGATATGATCGCCATGGATGGCATCGGGGCTGCAGGCGATGGATTTGATGAAGACAAAGACAAAACGCGCAGACATGCGGACGACTGGTCGTTTGAAGCATAAAGCTTCAACGAGAAGAAGGAGATTGTTCGAGAAGCAGGGTATCAACGACTTCGGGTGATGATTTTCCTTGAACGGCAACTGGGTGATGAGAAACAAATCAAAACTGGCAACGGCAATGCTGCGACGACTCCAGCTCTGTTGCGGTTGACGATGAGGTTAGCAAATAGTCGGACAGAAATTGAACAGCCCAACTATGGAAAATTCCGGAGACGCAGCTGCCACGATCTCGTTAGACTGAAGGCCTGGGTCACAGCGGCGAACACCGCGTACGAGAGAAAGAAGCTTCGTCGTGTAGGTGGGAAAGCGTCAGACTGATGACTTCAATGTTGCCGCGGAGAGACAATTGATGTTGGACGTATGTTGATTGCGGAAGAAGACTATGGAAGATCAAACGCAAAACCCTATTAGATCGAGGTTTGCTATGATACCATGAAGAATTTGATGACGCGGAATATCGAAAGAACACAGAACACAGGATTTTACGTGATATTCTCGATCGATTGATCGAGACTAATTCACGATAAGGTCGGAACGAGCTCACGACTGATGTTTTATTATGTGAGTACTACATTGTAACGTCTTGCTTACCACAGACAGACAACAGTTAAGCTATATATAGACGAAGGCTTAGGTGAAAACCTAAGGACGATTTAGTGTCCTTCTTTCGGGACAAGACACGAAAGGCCAAAGACAAGTTATGACAAGGACTATGTTATTTATTGACCAAGTAACAAAAGTAACCACAACAAAAAGAAGATTGAAATTGGAATTTGGGGGTTTCCAACCTCAATCGCCTGCCGTTATGAGAAATTGAATAACCGTTGCTCCTTGGTGGCGCCCGTTGCAGGAAGAAAGAGGTGGAATGGCGGCGAGAGTAGATTAGCCGGTTTATATTGATTAAAGTGTAACACCGTAAGAGCATCCACATTGGTATTGCATTCTCAATTGCAAAATGACATGAGATAGGTCTTAGCAATTGCAAAACCAATTGCATTGATGTGACTACCAATTGCATATTTTCAAGATTGCAATAAATGCAATTCCATATGCAAGTAAAAAAAGCCTACAAAAATGGGGATTTTTTATTTTATATTATTTTCTTCTCTTTTACTTAATTTTCTATAGTTTAAACATAATATTTAATTACATTTGCAATTGCAAAACAATAGCATTGATGTAGGTGAATGAAATGAATGTGATGTGCATTGCAAAAAATTTGAATTGACAATAAAAAACACAAATGAAATTTCTTTTGCAATTGCATTGATGGAGATGCTCTAATACCTCATCGTCAGAATCATTACACGGTACAACACAAACTTTTATAGTAAACCCAAATCCAGAATCACGTTAAAAGTGAAAGAAATTGTCCGTCTCCCTTCCCAGCTCATCCATCACAACTACACTACAGGGTAGCATTACAGATAATAAAAGAAGAAAAGGAAAGGAAAAAATTACAGAAGGAAGGTGATGTACAACATTCTTCACCACCTTTAAAAAGACCTGGGCTTAGCCACAATGGTGGAGTGCTTGGCGATGTGCAAGCTAAACTGCCCGGCCTTCTCGGAAGTGTCGAGCTTGGACTGTCCAGGCGGAGGCAACAGCTCAAAGTTCTGCACCAAGCGTCCAATGGTGATCCCCAAGATGGGTAGGGCGAGGATGATTCCAGGGCAGCTCCTCCTCCCGACGCCGAAGGGAAGGTACCTGAAGTCGTTCCCGTTGGCCTCGACTTTCGCCTCCTCTTCCAGGAACCTCTCGGGCCTGAACTCCTCGGGGTTCTTCCACTGGGCCGGGTTGTTGGCCAGCCACCATGCGTTGACCAGGATCTTGCTCTCTGCGGGGATGTCGAACCCGCCAAGCTTGGCGTCGTGGAGGTTCATGTGTGGGACGAGAAGTGGGATGGCCATTCTGAGACGGAGGGTCTCTTTGACGACGGCCTGGAGGTATGGCAGCTTCTGGATGTCGGGCTCCGTGATCTGCTGGCCTGCTCCCAAGACAGTGTCGAGTTCTTCCCTTAGCTTCTGTTGGATGTGTGGATGGTTCACCAGCTCCGCGATTCCCCACTCGATCGACCACAATGTGGTTTCAATGGCTGTTCAAATTTCACAACAGCAGCAGATACAATAAGTCAAATAGTTATTCCAAATTGTTGTGGGTCAAGCCAGTGTGGAGCCTAGTTAATTGAAGTTTGTTCAAGTGCACCAATTAGAAACACTTTCTATGTAATGTTCTTCTTTTTCTCTTTTCTATAATCCAAGAGGATTCATGAATCATCACCCAAAGCCAAAATAAAAGAATCCTGGTATGTGGATGTCAAAAAGCTGGCGGCTGCGCCAAAAAGTCGATTAGCACTTCAGCAGCCAGTAACAGAAGAAGAAAAAAGCAGATCATAAATTTATGTAGAAAAAGACATTGGAGTGTGGTAGGTGGGTTTGGTGGGAATTATTTATTTATTAGGGTTGGTGGGAGATCCAATTGCTATATGCAATGTCAATACGTAATTGTCACCTAGATAAAGAAGTAAAAGAATGATTGGTTGCTTTGCTTAGATGAATCTCACAAGTAATCTCAACTTGTGATGTAAGCGGGACCCGTGGTTAAGTGAGTTAGGTACGGGTTGCCCTACATCAACTATGGTGTGCATCAAAATCAAGAATTTGTTACCCCACATGTGAAATGCACCTTAGTCCCTTATCACACTTGACGTACACATGCAAACAAATTCGAACTACTTAATGTAAATAAAGTTAATATATGTTTTGAATACACCTAACACATTTCGTGAATATATTTAGCATATGTTGGTAGAATTATAAAACAGGATCTTATTTACAAAATCTTAGGAGCATGAGAATTTGACGTGTTACCAAATATATTTATCTTTCTGCTAGACTGTTCGAATTATTTGGATGCAAGCGGTAGGGCTGGCATTTCGGTTAGTTCGGTTGTAACCGATAACCGAAATGCCAGTTACCGGTTAACCGATACAGGGAGAAAGGCTACCGTCAACCGACCGAGTGAATGCTTCGGTTAGCCGGCAACCGACCGGTCGGTTACCGGTTAGTTGCTCGGTTAACCGGTTTGTTACTTTCGGTTTCCTCACCCGCTCCCCCTACTTCTCCTCACTCTCACCCACCGCCAATCTTTCCCTGTTGGAGAAGTTCCCCTGCCAGCTGCCATGACCGACTCTTACACTTCCCAAGGTTTTCTTCCCCTCTCTTCAATTCGCCCGAATCTTGCCGCCATGGAGTCCAAACTTGATCTCCGCCCAAGGACTGAAGCCGCCGTCCGCCAAGCTCCGCCAATTGCAGACCTACGCCGCGTCTGGATCCACTCCGCCGCCAAGCTCCGCACCCAGGTCGACCGCGTCGGCAGGGCCAACCCCAATTTCCTCTCCAACGACACCTCGGGGGTCTCCGTCGAGATCTACGTTGGCTGCCTCCGCGACTCCCTCGTCGGCACCGTCCGCTACCTCATCAGCAACCTTTCCCTCTCCTCTCCCCCGGCGGACACCCCTTCCTTCACCGCCCTCCAGATCCGCCGCCCTTCGGGGAGGTGCCACGGCGTGCTCAACATCGGCGCATCCGCCATCGATGCCGCCGATTTCACTGCATGGAAGGGGGAATCGGCGATCGGGTTACCGGCGAGAAGAGGAGTGGCGGCGCCGACGGGTTGGGTGGCGGACTGGCGGTTGCTGGGTCGCGACTCGCGAGCAAAGGAGTGAAGGGAGAAGGGAGAATGGGGCGGCGACGGTGTAGAGCGGCGCCGGCGTCGTCGTTTCAGTCTTGGAATAATGGCTTCCAGCCGAGGAGTTGTTGCTGGGAGATTATTGTTGCAGGTAGGTTCTTTTGGAATCAAATTTCACATAGTAAGCGAACTCCCAGCTTCCTTCTCTATGAGTTCTAATTTGACGTAGGATATTTGGAACAGGAGCCAAACCAGGAAATTGTGGATTGTTCTGAATGTGGTTCCTCTGGTTATGCCATCTCTGGGGACTTGAGCTTGCTGGACAAACTGATTATGAGATCAGATGCACGATATATTATCGTGGTGGAGAAGGGAGAAGAGTGCATTCGATAATTCGATTAGGGTTAGGACAGGGGAAGAGGGTCGAACAGGGGAGGTCGGGAAGAGGAGGGTCGATTATCAGAAGAACGGCGTCGTTTCTCACCTGCCGGTTAGCTGGCCGGTTAGTCGGTTAACCGCCGGTTACATCCGTCGGTTAGGCGGTTAACCGGCACAATAGAACCTGCTACCGACAACTGCCCGACACCTTAATTTTCGGTTAGGCGGTTAACCGGTAACCGGCGGTTATCTGTTTAACCGGCCGGTTAACCGGTAACCGAACGGCCAGCCCTAGCAAGCGGCAAGGAAATGAATTTCTAAAGAAGAAAAGAATTTACTCTATTTGTAATTATGAAATTAGTCATCATCACTTTGGTAAAAATGAATTTGTGAGGCGACCCAGTCAAAGTAGCACACAAATGACAAAACATAACAAAAAGGAAACAAGTTTGAGATTGGGGGAAAGGTGCCGGAAAGTTAAGAAACCAAAGCAATCTTCAACAAGAAAGAGGCTGACGGGTGGCCAAAAGTCCAAGACGAATGAACCATTTGCCTCTTCAATTACAAACAGCAGGCCTATGGCTACCGGATTTTCTTAGTTTCAGTTCCGTCACAAAAACTACAATCACCCATCCCTTCCCACCGTGTACTAGTGGAAGTTGGAAACCTCCGCTCATACTCCAAATTCCAACCTATTCAATTATATATATATGGTGGCTACTTCGGTGCACTCACTTTTTTAGGTGCACTCAATGCACCCATTTCTAAAAGTGTTCATAATACATCAAATTTTGAACTTTAATTAGTACTCTCAATCTAACATGATGATATGGCATAGAATCATAACAAATCAATCTGTTACCCTAACCCCTTAACCTTCAATTTTGAATCCTAATGCAAAATCTCAAACTGTAAACCTAAACCTTAACCCTAAACCCCTAAATACTAAATCCTTCAAATTAAAGTAAATCTTAAATGATTTTTTTTTAAATTCATGGGCTTATTGTTCATAATATCATAAGCAACAATTGATACCATTTTTACATGAATCGCATGCTCAGAATGATGATTATGAGGTGGGTGCGTTGAGTGTACCCAAAAAAGTGGGTGCACTGAATACGCCACCATATATATATAAGAGTAATATATAATTGTTTTCACGATGCTACTTAAAATTTTTAAATTTAAGACCAATGATAATATCGTTTTAAGACCAGTGATAATATCGTTAGATTGACCCTTAATTGCTTCAATTATATAATAATAATTATTATTATTAAAAAGACAGTGGTCATATACCCCAGCAGCAACTTAATTCTAATCTACCACTGAACAAAGTACAAATCCTATCTCACCATACTATTGTATTAATCAAAATAACCTAATCGACACCTTAATCCCAAATAACTGCATCTTTTCTTTTCCACTTGATACTTTCTTTGCCTTATTTTTCTTCTGCGTTATCTTTAGTTAGTAATATGAAAGAACAGAAAAAACAAGGAGGTGATGATTGATGAATGCACAGCCCACGTGGAGCAATTAATAGTCACACCACCATTCAGAAAGATCGCGGAGATGCAGAAATGAGAAAACCAAACACTACCTCTACTGTGAAAAAAACAAAAATATGATGTCCACTGTAAACACGGACAAGTTACAAGCAACAAAAGGGGGAGAAAAAGAAAAAAAAAATGAAAAGGGAAGAAACGTACCGGCGACGTTGATATTCTCGACGATGTAGAGGACATTGTCTTCGTTGATCTCTCCCTTCTGCTGTGCCTCCAAAATATGATCCATCGCGCACTTCAGCCCGTCGTTCGTCGTCTGCTTCGTGCCCATCAATGTCCTGATTTTTCAAAATTACCACCATTCACCTCAAATCAATCAATCTCAATGACCCAAATACCAAAATTGATAGCAATCGGGTCCCATCACTTACTTCCTCTCTTCGATGAAGTAATCCTTGAACAGCTTCAGCCTCTTCTCCTTCACCTGCTCGCAGACCTTCAAGTAACCCCTCAGGAAAGGCCTCAGGATCGGGATGAAATCGCCGTAGTTGTAGTCAAAGCTCTGCGCCAACCGACTCCGCTCCCCGTTCAGCGCCTTGAGCTTGTTGAACAGGGGATCCTGCTCCGACTCGAACCGGCGGTCAAACATGATCCGGAACATGTTGTTGTACATCATCAGCTGCAGGCGGCGGCGGAGCACGATCCCGGCGGTCGCGGCTTCGGGATTCTTCTTCACGTCCTCCACCACGGCGGCCGCCTCGTTCTCCCACCCCTGGCGGTTGTGCTGGACCACCTTGTTGGTGAAGAAGGGGACGGTCATGATGCGCCGCATCTTGCGCCAGTGCTCGCCGTAGACGGTGAACACCATGTCCTGCCCCTTCCCGGTGAAGATGTCGAAGACGACGTTGCGGGTGCGGGAACCGAACTCGACGCCCTGGGTGTGGAGGACCTCCTTTGCGAGGTCCGGGGAGGAGACGACGACCACGTTTCGCTGGCCCATGCGGAGGAGGAAGATATCGCCGAATTTCTTGGCGTAGTCGGTGAGGTTGCGGTGGTTGAGGTCATCGCCGACCTGGAGCCAGTTGCCGAGGATGGGGATTGGAAATGGGCCGGGAGGGAGCTTGAATCGCTTGCCGCGGAGCTTGGAGATTACAATGGCGACCACGACGGCGGAGAAGAGGGCCAACAGAGTCTTCTCCAGGAGGAGGAGATCCATGGCGGAAAGGAATTGATTGATTGGGGGAAATTAGAAATTAGGAGAGGATCGATTGACTTGCGGAGAAGGGAGGTTGGTGGAAGGTTTGGTGGTCGATTGGGGGATTTGGAGGAGGGGTTTTTATATTAAAGAAAAGGGGAGGGATCTGGTGGCGTGAGTGGAGATCGTTAGGTGAGACGGAGGCTCGTGTCGTGGTGGCGGTGGCTACCGGTGGACTTTTTTGTTGGGAGGGAAAGAGTGGGTGAGAACTGAGAAGCAGTGGGATAGATATGGATGGGAGGATTAACGGCGTTAGTGGAAGGACGGAGAAATGGGGGTAGGTAAGGTAACCTTAGGAGTCAGGACTCTGTCTCTGTGAGGGAAGAGGAGAGGAGGGTCAGATATGACAAGGAAGAGGTTGGTGCAGTCATCATGACATGAGATGGGAGGAGTGGTGGAGAAAGTATGGCCTGGGAAACGTTTTTCCTATTTAAAAAAAATAATATCTATTTTTTATTTAAATCTTTTTAAGTTTTTTTTCTGGTTATTCAAATATTTTTCAGATTCTTTTATATTATTCAAATTTATTAAAATGCTATTAATTAGCCAAATTTTTTGTAATGCATCAAAATTACTAATTAAAAGTCAGTATTATGTTGCCAAGTCAATATTACTAACAAAATTGCTAATTAAAAATCAACATTTGGATATTGGATAATATAAAAGAATTTGAAAAAGGTTTGGATAAAAACTTACTAAACTTACTAAAAATTCTTAGTAGTATTATACAAACTTATTAAAATACTATTAATTAGTCAAATTTTTCGTAATGTATCAAAATATTAGTAATTTTTACATTATCGTTAATAATTTTGTCTTTTTTTTAGTTAAAATACTAAAATTTTGAAATGTTGACCTTCATGTGTCTCTTCCAAGTCAGTATCATGTTGTCAAGTCAATATTATTAACAAAAATGCTAACTGGAAGTTAACATTTTGCTAATTCTTAGTATTTCGATAGGTTTGGCAAATAAAAAAAAATCTAAAAAAAGTTTAGCTAATAAATAGTTATTGTCCTTACAAAAATAACAAATCATCGAAAACGGCCAGCACACTAAAGTTGTTAAACCTCAATCGGTCTGTCAGTTGGCCCAGGTTTGGTCAAAATCGATTGCAAAATGGTTTTAAAAAGTTAGTGAACTAAACACAAGAGGGAGAGGCTAGGAGAAAGGGGAAAAAATCCCATAATACACTTATTATTAAAAAAAATTTCCAAAACACAATACTTATAAAAATATTTTTCAAAATACAGCAGTTTGGTTATCACCGCTGCAAAGCAAGACAGTGATGGAAATCACCGTTTTTGACAAAAACAGTGATAGCATCACTGTTTTGGTCCAAAGCGATGATGCTATCACCGTTTTGGACAAAAACGGTGATAGCATCATCGCTTTGGACAACAACAGTGATGCTATCATCGCTGTTGTTAATGACGGTGATTAACTCACCGTTGAGATGCGACGCGGTGAACATCTTAACCGTTGAATCCAGAAGCAACAACCCTCTCACCTAGAAAGACGAAAAGGAGGATCGGAGGCTTGAAAAAAACGACAGTGGCGAGAGACCCCAAGCTGGCGGCGAGAAAATGAAACAAAGAGAAGAAGCTGAAATTAGGAGGGAGAAATCGAAATCGAAATCGGGAGAGAGAAGGGGGGATTCTGCGGTATTTTCTGGTTCTGGTAAAAGTAAGCAGATTGATCTGAATTAGGACTTGGAATTGGAAGAGGCTGCCTTAGACCACTTTCGGAAGGTTGAATCAATACGTTCTGCAAGAAATTTGCGAGAACCTTCGGGTGTTTCAGCGGTCTCTTGAGAACTTGGTGAAGAAGCATTTAGTTACAGAGAAGCACCAAAAAAAACTTCGAGCTTTCTCCTAGAGCGAATGGAAGGACTGAGATCGGAGATAGCGGCGGCGGGGGAAGGCGGAGAAGAATAGAATGGGTCGAAGGTTTTGGCGATGGACAGCGGGAGTTCTCGATAGGGCTCTTGATGAAGGAGCGGGAGTCGAGTACTTTTTTGACGGTGTTGAGGTTTTTAAGACAGCTTCTGATTGACATGATAATTAGGATCGAAGTGAAGTTGGTGTCGCCGAGTGGAACGAGAGATTAGGGTTGGGGTTGGGTTTTAATCCGAAACTCAACTAAAGTTCGTAGCTTACTCGATTTATGTCGAAATTCGACACTGCTTGAACCGATAGTTCACACTTTTAGTCCTATCGATGATACGGCGGAACTTGACCCAGGGGTATAATAGTCATTTTGAATTTTGGGAAGAGCGGGGTGTAACATTTCCTCCCCCGTTATAATAATTTCGTCCCCGAAATTTGATCGGGCTCATCCTTTCATACTCCTCATTCTCGTGCTTCTTTGGCTCAAGATTTCACTCTTTCTATATGAACTTCAACGGCGTGCCCTTACCTTGTCTTGAAACGCTTACGATAGTTCTTATATGTACTCTTGTCCATAACATATATTCTCATCTACCTTGGTAGCATCGAATAGGTTTGAGTGACTCATTGCCCTTTTCAAAATTTCCAACTTGGGCCCAGTACTTGATGTTGAACCTATCGAAGTCTAGGTATCACATTTCCTCCCCACTTATAGAAATTTCTCCCTCGAAATTTGTCCATTGTGATTACCCTAAGCATCGCTTGTGGTAATCCCTTTCACGTCGCGGATTTTTATTCCCTTTTAACTTATACGACATGACCTAAAATCCTTCTCTCCATTCATTGCAACTTCAATGTTGTTGTGGCTTCTTAACCCCTCACATTACCTCGGCTACACCTTGTACATATATAGGAACGATAACTATCAATTGTTTGGTATACGAGACATTAATGCTCCTCTTGAACCCCAGGGTTACATATGGCAGCTTATCCTTTATCCCATCGGATGGTAAAATTCTTTTAACGTAACTCTCGTCCGGAGTTGACCTCATAGGTCACCTAGGTCCTTGTATCTCCTAACTCTGCATCTCTTACTTTCTTCCTCAATGCCTCGCCTTATCCCTTAACCATAAGCTGAATGGTCATCTCCTCGTTACTTATTGCTTAACTCTGAAACCTCATATTACAGCTTTTACCTCCTGTATGCATTAGAGGCATCCTTTGCATCTTTCTCTAGCTTGCGATCACCTTTATGATTCCTTTCAAGAATCATGGCATTCTCTCTGGCTTACTCGTTCACTCCTGGCGCCTAACTTAGCACTTACTTATCGCCACCTTTATTTGAAGTTCTCGTACTATCCATTCTACTACTCTTAGACTCTAGCTGAAATTACTCATACGGTTTTCCCGTCCAATAGAGTTTTACCCGAGAGATTGACACCTTTCACCAACATAGGCAATCTTGGTTTCACTTTTGGGTATTCTAGCAGGTTCACTAAACTTATATCCCTCTTACTTCCTTACTCGTGACTCTTCTTCTTGATATTACTCGCTAGTTCTAGATGAAGTCCTTTATTCTTGAGATAGTCATCTAGGTTCTCATATTCTCTTCTCGCTTATGTACCTTGACCGATAAGGTTTTCCCTTCGACCGTTCTGGACCACCCCACTTCTACTTTAAAGTTGACCATTGAGTTTCTCCGTTCTTGATGGGCTTCCTATGGTCCAACTTATTCTCCACTGGCAATCACCTTAACGCCTCCTTGTTGACCTTCGTATTCTTTCGCCGGCTCTTCCTAACTATCTTTCTTCCTGAATTTGTCTTTTTATCAACTACCAACCTTTCCCCATAACTTTCATTATAGCTTGTGGTTTCCTCCTTACTTTCACAACTCCTTCATCGATGCTTGGTACTAGCTTTGATCTACTCAGTCTAGTAGCTACTCGCCATACCTCAGAGCCAACATTTCCACTAGAAACTTTCTCTAGGTAGACTTGACAGATGACGCCCACGACTTCTACTTACGATGGTGCTTGACCACCTCCCAACTATCTTCCTTCACGCATTCATTGTCCGGTCGACAACCACCTTTTTTTTATTTTATCTCCTACAGCGTTCTATGGTGCTCTCCTTGCTTCTTTATTTTTACTACCCTTCTGTTGATACTTTGTACTATTTTCGGTCACCAAACTCTGTTGAGTATCTTCTCGTTGTTGTTTTGGGTCAAAGCTTCCAATAGTGGCTTGCCCTTGGTAGGCTTGAACATACCTCATCAACGTCTTTTGTCTCGATCGATGCTTGTACATAGCCTTAATCTCTTAGTCATGGCTCTTAGTGGCTTAACTAAATATCACTAATTTATCCTTAACTGGCCTTCTTTTATGGATGACATCCTAATATGTCGTACTCGCTCAGAGTGGGGCACCTTGCGTAAGGTAACTTAATGATTTCCTCCTTTTTGGTAATGATTTTCCTCATCATACCTCTTTGTGCAGCTTCTTGACCTCGAGTCACCTGAGACTTGACCCATTGACTTCTTGAAATCTCGTCAAACTCCCTCTGGCCTTTTTGCTCTTCCTTGGTATTGTTCGCAAACTCTCTTCATTACGATCGTTTAGACTCTTCCTCGAATTCCCTGCCATTCACTAGAACATTTATTGAATGTTCCACTTACTTGTCTATACTCGGTTGACTTAATGACTCACTCCCTCTGGCCTTTTTGCTCTTCCTTGGTATTGTTCGCAAACTCTCTTCATTACGATCGTTTAGACTCTTCCTCGAATTCCCTGCCATTCACTAGAACATTTATTGAATGTTCCACTTACTTGTCTATACTCGGTTGACTTAATAACTTACTCCTATAGCTAGTTTCGAGACTTCATCTCTTAGCCCTCTAGTTCAAACTTAGTAGAGAGGTTCCTCCTTCTGTCACCCCTCATGTACCCTAGGAGGCTAGGTGTTCCCTCTATTTAAGAGAGGACAATCCCATAACAAATCATCATGAACTCTTGCATTCCCCTTTCAACGGTCCCAACGACCTCCAAACCTTTCATGATCTGGGTAGTTTGTAGAGT